TAAAGTAGAGGGTCAGTGAAAAAGAGGAAGACCCTCAATGAGATGGACTGACACAGTGGCTGCAACAATGGGCTCAAGCATAACAACAATTGTGAGGATGGTGTAGGACTAAGCAGTGTTTTGTTCTGTTGTACATAGGGTCGCTATGAGTCAGAACTGATTTGAGAGCACCTAACAACAACAACAACAACAACGGCCTTGAAAACTAAAGTGGAAGTGAATATTCCCAAGATGAAACCAAACCAAATCTGTTGCTGTCAAGTTGATTCCAACCCACAGCAACCCTACAGGACAGAGTAGAACTGGCCCATAGGGTTTCCAAGGCCGTAGTCTTTATGGAAGCAGAATGCCACATCTTTTTCCTGTGGAACAGCTGGTAAGTTCAAATCAATGATCTTTCAGTTAACAGCCAAGCACTTAACCACTGTGCCACCAGGGCTCCTTATTCCCAAGGCAGGCAGTAAAAATCATCAGGTACCTGGTTGCGCTGTTCGGCAGCATTCAGCTCCTGCTGCAGCAAGTCCACTACTTGAGCACGACCAGACAGGGCTTCTTCACGCTCTTCGAGCTTCCTCTGCAGCACCCTCAAGTTCTGACAAGAAAATGTTTTAGATTTTATGTACTAGCAAATGAGCACTGTTATCTGCTTACCTTTCAAAATGTCATGTAGATTTGTGTACTTAAGAGTTTTGGATGTTGAAGATGACAGACTAAAGAGTGAGACACCAGCATGTCATGCGCCCCATCCAGCAGAACAAAGAATGTCCAAAAATGCCTTCTCCAGAGCAGTGACAACAACCAAAGCCATACACAAGCAAGTCCATTAATTAGGGAGCTTTTTATAACAGAAAAATGACACACTCCACTTTCAAAATGATACAGTCAGCGTCCTGTACCTAAAAAACATAGGCACACGTATCTCATCCACCAAAAAGAATCTTTTCTGCAGGCAAAAACTGTCTTCTCCTTCTGTCATGCACTGGTAGGCATTCCATAAACACTGCTGAATAAATAAACTAATGATACACATATACAATTAATATTCTACTTGAGAAAGTGTTGTATTCTGAAAGTTCAGTTAGTGTTGTAAGCTGAACAATTGCTTAGAATTTGGAAGAAGTTTTCACTCAAAAACATTTAAATGAATCAACCAGCAAGTACTAGAGGAGTGCCTTTGGGTACCACGCTGCACTATACATTCAGTAAAAAGTTAGTAGTTAATGAGTTAGTGGATAATGAACTCAAAAACAATGAAGCCAATTTTCAAAATACACTCAATAAATTTTCCTAGAAAGTAAGAATTATTGATTTAATAAAAGACTTCATGCTTTAAAATCACTTCATCGTTAATTTTTTTGAAAGTTTAAAACTGGCTTCATTGATTCAAGCTTAGTTATGATGAGCAAACTGAAGAGAAACCAATTTCTGACTACCACATATATTCTCCAACTAAACTCAGCTTTTTTTAGTACCAACAACCTAATTACGCATTGCTGCTGAGTAGAAGCCCGACTCATAGTGACCCTATAGGACAGAGTAGAACCGCCTCCTAGGGTTTCCAAGGCTGTAATCTTTACGGAAGCAGACTGCCACATCTTTTCTCCCACAGAGCGGCTGATGGGTTCGAAATGCCGACTGTTCGGTTAGCAGCTGAGCGCTTAACCACTATGCCACCAGGGATCCCTAACAACCTGATGAGAGCGGTAAAAGGCAAGGCAAGGATAAGAAAAAAATAAACAACTAATATGCAACAGGAAGACAAGGACACCAAAAAGAAGCCAACTAAGGATCACGCTAAGACCAACAGGAGAGCAGTGGGTAAGGGTAGAAAAATGACTGTGATGATTTTGTTAAATGTTAACCAAAATGATAATCATTCTACTAAGTTTTAGCAACACACCTGTTGCATCTGTGTTTCCACATCTGCCTGGGTTACTAACTGAAGCAGCTCATCTTCATGAAGACGAACCTGTGTTTCAAAGCGGGCATCTTTCTCTCGGACCACCTGCTGCATGGAACTCAACTGAAGACACACACCAGAAAAACTATACAGGTTACACTCCCCAAACAGTGCACAAACAAAACTCATAGACTACTCTCCAAAGACAGACTTTGAGAACCGACAAACAGTAGCTTTGTAAAAATTTTTTGAACATCAAGGATGAGAATGTTGGAAGAGAGATAGTTAGGCCTGACAGTAACTTCCAAATGTGAGAGAGGGCCTATTCTCAAATTCAAAAACCAGCCTAAATATAAAATGCAATTAAAATTATACTTGTATGGTTACTAGAAATGCTTTAAATAAAGATATAAGTTTGATATGTATTTTTTTTAAGTTCTAAGGACATTAGAATATTAAATAGAAAATGAAGTTAGATTTCTGTTAAGTACTAGCCACTTCTTTCAAAATCCATTCATACTCAAAAATTTTCAATGAAATTGTCATGCCCTTTAAGTTAAAAATTCAAACTAATGTATCTTATATTCAAGATAATCTACAACTGGAAATACAAATCCATCTCTCTAGTCTTATTTTCAAAGAATTGCTTTTACCAAAAAACCTGGTGTGCTTCCAAACCCACACCACCTCCCCAGACAGCTGTTTTCAGCTGTCACGACTTGCAGTCTTCTAGATCATACTCATCGGTCATTGGCTCTTAGCAGAGTGAAAGGGAAATCAATGGATGGACTGTGAGCTGCTATCAGGGTTTTTAATCTGCTTTGTTTTTAGGTTGTGTGCGTGTGTGCCTGCTTATTTGTGTCCTTAAGATCTATGGTTAAGCATGCTCATCAACTATTCTTCAACCACTGCTGATTTCTCAATTTATGATGCCTTGAATTGACCTTAGATCACCTTGGTATCAATCTTCAGATTCTTTTTGATTATCTAAATTCTGATCTCACTATGAATTTGGAATCCTGTGCAGGCATAGGAGTCCTTCATTATTCAAACACATCTATACATCCTGTCCTGGAAATGTGCCATTTTTTTTTCCTCTTGGCGTCTTTGCTCTTACCATTCCCCACAACTAAAATATCTCCCCCACCATATCTAGAATATTATCCATCAGTCTCCGTTGTGCCTACATCCTATCTTTTCCATGTAACCTTCCTTGACTGTCACACCCTCAGTAACCTCTTCTACCTCTCAAAATACTTTTAGTTTGTGTTGCTGTTCGCTTTAGTACTTATTCTGAAAGGTTGGCATTTTAATAGATCTGTTAACATATTTAATATCCCTTGGCTTTCCATATTTTAAGCAACTTGTTAGGTTAGAAGCATGTTTTGTACTTCTCCAACCTACATTTTATACAGTACTTGTACATCAAAAGGAAACAATAAAAGCTAATAGGTAAAATTAAGAATTGCAAGAGACATGATTTTAACTGTATGCATAGCAGTAGGCTACCTACAGACAGAATGCACCTCCAATACTATAAGCTGTCAATAAAATAAAGACCAGATGGATAAGATTAGCTATGTGCAAAGGCATTCCAGGGGGAAAAAACATTTCATAAGTCAAAAGCGTTCCCAAAACAAAAATATGGGAGGTCAACCAGGAAATTTAGAAAACCGTCAAAGCGTTGAGAGTGCTAGTCCAAACAGTCTGGTCTTAGTGGCAGAAACAAATGTGAAGAATGTCACATGCCAAGTAACAAGCAATCACATAACCTACACCACTTTCTGAGGGCATGCTCACTAAGTAATCTCCTGATTATACTTTAACTTTCCATTAATATTTCACTATAGAGCAAGACCAGACTTAATCGTTTGTATTTCTAATTCTCATGTTTAAATGGCATTTTCGTTTATCTATCAGTCTCATTTGAACTTAGTTAGCATGTACCTATCCCTAAGAGGCTGGACTTCTGTGTGCTATTAAAATCAAGTTTCTGGGCCTAGAGAACTAAGGAACAGTCAGCAACTAGGCTATGGTAAATTTATCAAGGTAAATAATACTTTGTGAGGTTTCTTGGTAGTTAGATGGTGTTCCCTAGCAACATACTTACTTACCTAGCACATCTCCCTTCTAATTTCTTCTCTAGCTACTATACTTTTATCTAAGGTGTACCTAAAAAGTGACTGTCTCAATTGACTTTTTATGTAATAATCCACTGGACTTTCACGATTCTTCATCCTAATCATTACGAGGTACCTCCCGCTCCTACCTGTGCAGCTTGCTCTGCCTGGGTCTGGCTGAGCTGGGTTTGCAAAGTGCTAATGAGTTCCTCCTTCTCTTTGAGTTGTTGTTTCACCCTTACAAATTCTTCCATCTCTGTAGAATTCTTAGCCAACTGAAGACACAGAAGAAGAAAACAATATTTTTTTCAGTGAAGAATCAGCATTATTAATTCTTTGACCCCCTCCCTTCTCATTTGCCCTAAATACCTACCATATTCCTTCTAATTTCCACTGAACGTAAAAGAGAATTACATGTGCTGTGGTTTTGAAAACGCAGGTATCAAAAGTTACTTGTCAGAGGGAGATGGAAGCAGTAGCAGCAGTTTTTTAATTTCTCTGACTCCTCAAATACAAAGAGAGCACAACTAGGTAGTGAAGCCAAACACCCACGGGGAATGTCTATGACAAAATTAGGAAGACAGTCCCCACACCTCAAAATGCAAGCAGGAAGGAACAAACTCCCTAAAGGCAAAGGACATGCACTAGACAGGTCTGTGTGAGAGGAAGAAGGAAGCAGCAGAGCAGTGTCTCATGGCCCTGAGAACACGAGAACCCCCAAATAGCCAATTAAGCATTTATTGCAAAGTACAGTTGGTGAATTTTAGAACAGCAGCTTAAATGGAGAGAACTGTCCCATTCTCCAGTACTGGGAAAGTGCAAGGAGTCCAGAATAAAGGATGAAAGAGCCGGAGCAATCTGGCTCCTCTGAACTCTCGAAACTGACTCACCAGGCTCCCTCCAGAACATGACCCTGCACTAAAAAGAAACCATGAGGAGTGAAATCAAAATTCAGCAGAATAGGGGCAATGAAGACAGAAGAGAAGCTCTACACATGTGCTGTATAATTCAATATCCACTAGCCACATGTGGCTATGGGGGGCTCGATAAGTGCCCAATGCAACTGAGGAACTTAATCTTTAATATTATTTCATTTTAATTAATTTGAATATAAAAACTGAAGAAGTATAAATTATTTTCCCACTAAATACAACTTTGTTTAGGTATGGCTGCCTTTCACTTTATCTGATGTATTATGCAAGATGTTGTGCGCACCAAACGCACTTGTTCCTAGTGTTATTAATAAACACATCACCCCATCTAGTCGGTGTTGATGGACTGATCCAGCTTGAATGGTTTTTTCTACATATTCATTAGCACTGTAATGTGTTTATTTGAATACTTAATAAAGACAGCACTATCAGCAACAGTTGATATCTATGTAAATCATAATTGGTAATTAAACGGAAATATAAACACATTATAATGTAAGTGAATTACTTTTCTAGTTCAAAAAATATGTATATAGATACATTTTTAAGTTTAGAATGAAGGTATACTACTGATGCAGAATCCCACGGAGATTTAGAAGCCAGTCCTATGACCAGAAGAGTAAGAGGAAAAAAAAAAGTCTAGAAGGTATTCACAAGTTTCGTAATGAATAGCAAATGCAATTTGCTGCAGCAGAACAAAATGAAAAAACTGTTGTGTAAAAAAAATTAAAGATCATAAACAGTCTTTTTTAGCAAATATATACTGAATTTGATAAGAAGTTTCCTCTCAATAGTCAAAAAAGGAATTAATGAAATTAGTCACCTGAAATCAGAATTAAATGAACAACAAAAATTTTGAATGACTTTTAACTGGATATAGGCTTATAACTTTGGCCAACTATAAACAGCTTGGATTCTTTTTTTGTTGTGAAAATAAAGATAGCACCATATTTGCCAATTCAACATTTTTAACATATAATTCAGTGACATCAATTATATCAATCATGTTATGCAACCATCACCAATGTCCTTTGCCAAGTTTTCCATCCCTCCCCATAAACAAAACTCAATAAACAACAATCCCCTTCCCCATTCCCCCTCCTTTCTGCCCCTGGTAACCACTATTGAAGCTCTGATCTCTATATATTTACCTATTTTATGTACTTCTGATTAGTGAGCTCATACATCTTTTCAAGGCTCATCCGTGTTGTGACATGTATCAAGACTTCATTTCTCTTTATGGCAGAGTTATGTATATACCACATTTTGTTTACCCATTCATCTGTTGATAGGTATTTGGGTTGTTTCTGCTTTTGGCTACTGTGAATAGTGCTGCAATTCATGTGTGAACTGCTGGGTCATACAGTAGCTCTAGGCTTAGCTTTTTGAGGAACTGTCAAACTGTTTTCCATAGCAGCTATGCTATTCTACCTTCCCACCAGCAATGAATGAGGGTTCCGATTTCTCCACATCCTTGGCAACATTTATTACTTTCCATTTTTTTAATTTTAGCCATTCTAGTGGGAGTAAAGTGGTATCTCATTGTGGTTTTGATTTGCATCTACCTAGGGTCACTATGAGTCAGAATCTACTCAACAGCAATTTTTCTTTTTAATAGGTTAATAGCTAATGAAGGAGCCCTGGTAGCTGCTAACCAAAAGGCTGGTGCTTAGAACGCACCAGCCACTTCACGGGAGAAAAGACCTGGCAATCTGCTTCCATAAAGATTACAGTCTACAAAACCCTATGGGGCAGTTCTACTTTGTCCTGTAGGGTTGCTATGAGTTGGAATCGACTCAACAGCACACAATAAGAACAGTGGCTAATGACGTTCAGCATCTTTGCACGTGCTGTTGGCTATCTGAATATCCTCTGGTGAAATGTCTATTCAGGTCCTTAGCCCATTTTCTGATTGGGTTGTTTGTCTTTTTCTTGTTAAGTTTTATGAGTTCTTTAAATATTCTGGATATTAAACCCTTATCGGATATATAACAAAACTCCAAACTCATTGCCATCGAGTTGACTCCGACTCATAGTGACCCTAAAGGACAGAGTAGAGGGTTTCGAAGACTATAAATCTTTACAGAAGCAGACTGTCATGTTTCTTCTGCGGAGCAGCTGGTGAGTTTGAACTGGTGACCTTCTGGTTAGCAGCCAAGCACTTAACCACTGCACTACCAGGCCTCTTACTGGATATACAGCTACCCAAAATTTTCTCCCATTCTGTGGGCTGTCTCTTCACTTTGTTAGCAAATTCCTTTGATGTACAGAAGTTTTAAATTTTGATGAGATCCCATTTATCTATTTTGTCTTTGGTTGCTTGTGCTTTTGGTATCATATCTGAGAATCCATTGTTGAAAACTAAGTCCTGAAATATTAGCCCTATGTTTTTTTCTAAGAGTTTTATGGTTTTAGGTCATACATTTAGGTCTTTGATCCATTTTGAGTTAGTTTTTATATATGGTGTGTGGTATGGGTCTAATTTCATTCTCTAGCATGTGGAAATCCAGTTGTTCCAGCACTATTTATTAAAGAGACTATTCTTTCCCCATTTGATGCACTTAGCACTCTTGTCAAAGATTAACTGACCACAGATATGTGCGTTTAACTCTGGACTCTCAATTCTATTCCATTGGTCTATCTGTCTATCATTATACCAATACCACATTTTTGACTGGAGATAAGCTTGTAACTTTGGCCAACTATAAACAGCTTAAATTTCTATATAAAAAAGAAAACTATTTTTTGATGGAGATCTGCTAAAATTTGCTTTTTATGCAAATTTTGTTAGAAAATGATTTTAAAAAGGCTAAAAATGATATTTTACATTAAGTGAAAAATCATCAGTAAAGCCACTGAATAACTGCCAATAAAATTTAAAGCCATTTTAGCAATGTAAAAGATAACTGATTCACAGTTTTTAAAATAACAAGTAGGTTTTTTTAGCATTAGATGAGTTGTATGATATGAGAGGCACTGCCTAATTAATACTTTGGGTACATTTTGTCTCAAAAAACTTCTAAATTTTTACAAAGAAATATTGTCAATTCACGTCCTTACAAAACTTACGGCATAGTTTGAATCTTCTGTATCTGTCAAATAAGAATTTATGACAGATATGGAAAAGAGAATCCATTTCTATCATGATGAATGGAGATGCTTCGATGTTAGGTCAAATTCTAAGATTTATGGAAATTTTTAAAAAAGGGAGTAATGTTTCTCTTCCCTTCACTGTACGACACAAGTTGAAAATATTTATGCTCAATTACCTGAAGCAGACTTGAAGAAAAGTGCTATGAATACAGTTGTTAAAGTTGTTCAGTATATATGTGCAAATGCTATGAATCACCACCACTTTATGAAATTGTTGAAAGGGAAAACAATGTAATTAATGATCTGGTTTTCTTTGCCAATTCTCTTTGGTTGAATAGTGAAAGAGAGTTTTACAAAGGTTAAACACATGGTTAACTCCAATTCAAGATTTTCTTGAAACAAAAGGAATGCTTGCCAAGTATTCAATAATCAAACACAAAAAAAGCAGCATGATTTTTGTTCTCTCACTTACACTACACATAAATGAGTTAAATTTGAAACTAAAATGAAAGGAAAATTTAGTTTGTGGTTTACCTATTCAGACATGGAAACTAGTTGTAATTGAAACTTCTAATACAAATCAATAATAGTGATTTTATGCATTTTTCTAACATGAATCAAAAACAGATGATTTTACTAGTAATCAAAAACATTATGTAAAGTGGCTGCAAAAACTACAAGAAATTTTTGAAGAAAGTTTTGTTAATATAGAAAAATTTATAATTGCTTTTCAATATATGCAATAACTCCACTGAATCTGATGTTAAGAATACTGATAGTGAATATATATAACTTGGAACCTTTTTTTAAACAGCTTTATTAAAATAAAATTGACACAATAAACAGCATATATTTAAACTGTACAATTTGGTGTTTTGACATTTGGACACACCCAAAAATCACATTCAAATCAATAACTCCATCAACCCCTCTGATCTGCTTTCTATCACTATAGACTAGTTTGCATTTCCTAGAATTTTATATACATTATGTCTTCTTTTTTGTAATTTACTATGTACTCTTTCATTCAGCAGAATTATTTTGAGATCCACGAATACTGTTGCATCTATCAATAATTCATTCCTTTTTATTTCTAAGTAGTATTCCACTGTATGGCTATACCACAGTTTATCAATTCACCTGTTGGCAGACATGTGAGTTGTTTCCAGTTTTTGGATATTACAAGTAAAGCTGCTATGAACATTCATTTACAAGTCTTTGTATGGAACTATGGTTTCATTTCTCATAGATGTAGCTTTGAAATTGATATGCTTTTCAAAGTCAAATTAATTCTTCTAAAAATAATGAACCTGGTTTTCAATGTAGATTTAAATATTAAAGGAAAATGATGTTTTAATACTTGATTCAGTTGTTGGAAAGCTTTCAAGCATGTTTGGAATGACCTGAATATCTGAATCTACTTTCTCAACTTTAAGTTTTATGAAATCTAAACACAGATAAAGTATTTCCGTGAAAATTTAGCATCCAAATTAAGATGTAATATAAAATACACATCAGATTTCAAAGACTTAATATCAAAAAAAGAATGTAAAAATAATACAGAAATTTTTTTATATTAACATTGAAATTATGTTTTAAAAATATTGGGTCAAATGAACTATAGCACTGAAATTAATTTCACCTGTTTCTTCTTTACCGTTTGTAATGTGGCTGCTAGAAAATGTAAAGTTACACATGTGACTTGCATTACATTTTATTGGACAGTGCTGCTACAGACCAAAGTAGGGGAGGGAAAAGAGTCAGGAAATCTCAGAAATCTAGCCGTTTTATCTCTGAACACTACACAAAACAACAGAGGAGGAGGGAATGTTAAGTAAGAAAAGCTTTCCTGAATGAAGCTTCCTTCTAAAAGTTCAGGAAAACTAATTTCACACACAAATAAGCAATAGAAATAAAAAAGTATCAAGGTCAAATTCCATACAAAGTTGTCATTTAAAAAAAAAAAAGAGTAGGAGTAGAATAGCATGCCTACCAGGGTAAAAGCATGCTCAAAACATCAAAATTATAACTTAATTCAAAAGGAGTTAAAAAAATGTTTAAGAAAATTATACAAGACATGAAAGAACAACATAAATCAGAATTAGAAAAACTCAGAAATTAGGTGACAGAATTCAGGAAGAATTCTATCAAAAAGAAAACATCATTTCAGAAAAGAAGCTTGTTTTAAAAAGGAACACAAAAATAAACAAACACAAAATATAATGCCTTAAGAGAAATAAAGGGAAAAGAAAAAAAAAAGAAGAAACTTTAAAAAGCAAACAAAAATTTTGAATAAAGAAAGAAAAAGAAATTGGAAAAAGTGCAGATATTGAAGACAATCAAAGATCAAAAAAAACAGATTTAACAGAAGTCCCTAAAGAAGAAAACCAAGGCAAAGGAATAGACCAAACACTTCAAGTTATATAATTCAAGAAAATAAAAATATTTGAAGCCATATATTGAAGGAACATACTGGGTACCTAAAAATATCAACCCAGAATGACAAACACCAACACATATTCTAGTAAAACTAATGGACTTAAAAAAGAGAGAAGGGAAGGAAAGAAGGAAAGATAGGCTGATTGATTGATCGATAGATGAATGGATGGATAGCTAGCTATCCGTTGGGCATCCACAAAAATTTAATTGTCATGTAATAATCCATTGGGCTTTAGTAACTATATGACTCTAATGATTATGAGGTGACTCACACCCCTACCTGCGCAGTTTGCTCTGCCTGTGCCTGGATAAGTTGGGTTTGCAAACTGCTAATTAGTTCTTCCTTCTCCTGGAGTTTATGTTTTATCTTTTCTACTTCCATCTCCTCCTCCTCTGTAGAACTCTTGTCATGCTGAAAATACAGGAAATAAAGTCATTTATTCAAACGAATTACAATTAATATACAACTGGTCTTTTGTTCTAATTTTCCCTACACAACCATTTGACTGTAATGTTTTATCAATCCTCCTTCTATAATTCTTTGATTATTCCATCTTCTTCATCCTCATACTCTTAGCTCAAATCATCATTCCTTCTAAGAGCTCATTCATCTGGTTCCAAGTAACTCCAATTTTCCCTTAAAAGATCAGCAGACTGTAACTATGCTGACAAATTTACCTATTTATTGCTCTATTCTTAGTAGAGGAATGAAAAAGGATGATCTGAGAGGAAATGCTGACATGTTTCTTCCCCAGGGACCCTCTCTCACCTTCACCTCCATAAAACTAAGCCCTGGAGCAAACAAACAAAAAGCTAAACAAGTATAAAATTAATCCTTTTCCAATGCTCATCAAAAATCTATTTGAATATAAGAAATCAGTCATTAGCTCTTAAACTAATTAGTTCATAAGCAGTCATTAGATCATAAACCAAAAATATTACCACAAGCACTTATTTATCATTAAAAAAGGTTACTGAATGTTTGTATCATCTAAATTTGGTATTCCTATAAATTAGTACATCTCTTAATCTTTGACATGCTCCTACTCCCAGCTATATATAATACAGGAGACCCAGTAAATATCCAGTAAGGGGCCCCAAACAGTTAAAATAAACATCACAAAGTTCATACATTAAAAATCAAATAAGTTACTAATATTAGACTCCCTTCTTCTCGGGATGAATTTAATATTTTACACATGATTCAAACAAGTGTATTTAACCAGTTTTCCAGGCTACAGCAGATTAGAGGTGAGGAAATAATAAGTTGTTGTGAGATTCAAACAAGCTGACAGAAGCAAAAAGTAACAGCTGACCTAATGACAAGGAAAGAATCTTAGCATTTTCCATTTTCAGTATGGCCAAGTAGCACCTATTAGACCAACCCTCCCACAGCTAACAACTATAAACTCTGGATAATATAGAAAGCAGTTATCTGGAGACACTGGAAAGCAACCAACAGCAGGAAGATACTAGAGGGGAGTCAATAGTTAGAAACGGCACTGGGTGAGCTTCCTACTTTTATATTTTATAGCTTTTAGTCTGAGGGCAAGACCAGTCAGCACCATGCAGGACTAAAACAACCAAAAACCCACAGTCTTAACTGGCTTGAAGAACTAAAGGATGCAGTTCAGGGAACCACAGCTGCTTTTAAGTAAGGGGCAAAATGTTGGAAAAGAGCCAGTAGGGGGACACCAAATTCTTTTTTATTTTTTCCCCTAAAGTTCGTCCTTAGACTAAACCAGATTCTGCCTTCTGAATTCAACCTTCAAATGAACCTAGCCCTGCTTACTGGAACTACACAGAGTAATTCTACACTTTCCTCCACATAGTAGTTAAGCATCTGAGGACTGCTATCATTTCTTCTACTATACTGTCCTCGGAATACCTAACTCTGTACTGAGTACACAATAGTTAAAGGGCTGCTACAACGGATTTTTGGAACTTAGAAATTATTTAATCCAGTTCTTTTATTTAACAGAGGAAGGTAGTAAGGCTTTAAGATGTTGACTTGTTTAAGGTTTCAGAGCAAACAAAGAGCATAGTATAAAATGGTTAATTTTAAAATCTAACAACACAGCAGAAAGGGAATTAGAAGAAACAAATCAACATGAAGAGAGATAGGCTGACATTATGACAGCCAGGAGAAGAAAGAATTACCAGAAGAAAAACCAAAAAGTAAGAAAGGGGAATCAACATGAAGAAATTATCTGAGAAAACCTTTTAGAATAAACTTCTAGAATAAATTTTAAAATAAGATTATCAATTAAGGAAAAGTAATGTCTTCTGAGCATCAGAAAGGAAAGACTGAGTCCCGGATGGAGCAGGAGAAAAGTGGGGTGCAGAACTCAAAGTCTAGTAAGAAGACCAGACTTAGTGGTCTGAGACTGGAGGAACCCCAGAAAGCATGGCCCCTGGATTCTCTATCAGCCCAGAACTAAAACAATTTCCCAGGCCAACTTTTCAGACAGGGATTGGACTGGACTGTGGGACATAAAGTGATACTCGTGAGGAGTATGCCTCTTAGCTCAAGTAAATACAAGAGACTAAACAGGCAGCTTCTGTCCAGAGGTGAGATGGGAAGGCAGAGAGGGTCAGGAGCTGGTTGAATGGACATGGGGAATCAGGGGTGGAAAGGAGGAATGTGCTGTCACAGTATGGGGAGAGCAATTAGAGTCACATAACAATGTATGTATAAACTTTTGTATGGGAAAAAATAAAAAATAATTAAAAAAAAAAAAAAAGGAAAGACTAACCAAGGGTCCTAGAGACGACCCCAAAGGTTGTGCCTAGACAACTGATTAACACCTCGTTCCCAAGAACCCAGAAAATTGAAAAAAAGAATACTAGTGGGTCAAAGGGTAAAAACAAAAACAAAAACCCATTGCCATCAAGTCAATTCCGACTCACACCAACCCTACAGGACAGAATAGAACTGCCCCATAGGGTTTCCAAGGAGTGGCTGGTGGATTTGAACTGCTGACCTTTTGGTTAACAGCTCAGCTTTTAACCACTGCACCACCAGGGCTCCAAAGGGTAAAGCAGAATAAAATTAAGAAAATAAAAAAACTTCCTATAAAGCGTTTAGTCTAACTCTACAACTACAGTGTATACATGTTACATGCCTGTCCCCATATTATATCAAACTCTCCACAAAACTGAAGTTTCTTGTTCTCTAAATGACTGGCTGAATGTGAATATTTGGGGTTTAACCACAGAGGAAAGGCAATTAAAACAAGTACTGGGACAATGTTCTATTCTTCAAAGGGCAACACTTTCCTTACTCCTCTCTTCATCCCCAACCTTAAGCTGTTTGGTTTATAGCAGGCATAAACCAAGAGAGCCTGCTTTTCAGGGAGCCCAAGGTAATCTAGTGGAGTAAATTCAGCCCACAATACATGAAACGTTAATCCACTATATGTGGCCATACAAGGACTCAGAATATTCTGTATCAAGTCAGTGAATTAAAGAACTTTGGAGCTAGGAGAAACCTTGGAGACTATCTAGCTTAATTTTCTAACCAATGATGAAATTCCTCCAAAAGGTGTATGCCTCTCCTTTCTTAATGCCTCATTTCAGTACTTATTTCTTCCTGGTAGTTTCATTTAATTTTCAGAAAGTCTAGGCCACAACCAGCATTTTGCATCCATGTTTTCTATAAGCCTCTTAATTCTTCCTGTGTGTGGCCTGTAGTCCAGCTGGACAGCAAGCTCAGTAAGAAAGGCCAGCATGTAGTGCTTCATTACTTTAGCTTCATAAATGTTTGTGATTAGTGAAGACCAGCCGCCGTACCTTGGAGAGCTGCTCCTCTGACTGAGGTTCTGTAGGCAGAACAGTCCCTCCTTGTGCCTTCATTTCTTCTATGTGTTTATTCAAGGAAGCTAATTTGGCCTTAGCATGAAGCTTTATTTTTTTAATTTTGTTATCAGCAGCTTTTCTTTCCTCCTGAGGGAAACAAGGATGGTAAATGCATGAATGTTTGTTCACTGCTTATCTAGCACATATCAAAAGTTATCTGCAGTAGGCATCATCTTACAGTATCAGGGAAAGAAGAATAAGATTCTCTAATAATCTAAGTGAAGAGAAAAATCTAAGTGAATGGTGTATCTGTCTTTTATCAAATGCCCAGCAAGGAAAGACAAAAACAATAGTACCTGTAGAGTCTCATCCTTCTGTTGTAGCTGAATATCCTTCTGCCTAATAATATCCTTCAGCTCCTCCACCAACTGTTCTGCATAAGCCAGGCGCTCCAGAACATCCTCTTGTATTCTATTATTAAATTCCATGTCAGATTCCTGTGGTATTTCCTAAGTATTTAGACAAAAAGTTTTCAATGCATCAGAGAAAAGGTATTAGTTTGCAAACAGGAGTTTCTTCATTCCAACTTCATCTTATCTTTTGCTCAGCTTATATCCTTTTAAATTTAAGAAATCTTTCTCACTCTGATCCAATAATTATTTTTATCTTAGCCATTACCATGTATTGAGTATTTAGTAAATGTTAAGCATTTTACAAATTTTTTTTAATTTTGCAAATTGTTTCATTTAAGGTATTACTATGCTAATTTTATCAGAGAAAAATAAAGAGAAACAAAGATCATAAGCCATTAAATGGAGGAGCCCAAAACTTAAGAGAGTAGTTGGATAAAATGCTCTTAGCCATTAAGCAATAATACTTGTCTTTTCAGAAAACTAAAGAACTTGTTTTAATTCATTATATAGCCCTCCAAAAATATAACACTTCAACTATTAGAGAAGTGGTAGATGAATTTATAAAAGCAAACAGATATTCTCAAAACCAAAAGGTGCTCCAGTTGCTCCATTTGTCATTCAAACCTTTCCTATGGAATAGGAATATATATACATATCTGAGGAGGAGGAGAAGTTAAAACAAGCCAGCACTACACAAGCCCCAGAGGGACAAACTAGAAAAGATCTTTCAAATCTCATCCAGGACTTGTTCCCATCATTGTGGCTCTTATGCCACAAACTTACAAAAGGATCATTTATAAGTCTCAATATTCTTCTTAATACTCTCTTCCACCCAGCAGAAGGCAGGCTGCAGACTCCCTTCTAAAGTTCTTTTCCTCAGAAGTATACAGAACAACTGTCTTACTGGTTTAAATCAGAAGAGAGTTACTCACAGGGTCCAAGGGAGGCCCCATATCCTGATCAGTACCATCTCCTGACAATTCATGCAAAACAACATTTGCTAATCCTGACAATCGACTCAACATTTCTGCAGGAAAAGAGGAAAAGAAAGCATAGGAATCAGTAAAGCAGACACAGGCTTCTCCAATATTAGTATCTATAGTATCCACACGTGAAATAAGAAGACTGTGCAGGTAATGTTCATTAGACAGTCTGTAGCATGATGATGTCTTCAAAAAGGCATTTGCGTGTGTACAGGGTAGTCACACACTGTTCTTTTCAGTGGCAACTGCAAAGAGATTTTAATCACCATCACTAATATCACTGTTTAAATAAAATACAAGTATCTAATTGTTAAGTGGAAAATAATGTGGCTTAGAAGTTACCTTTAATGCTCTTCCTTTCATTGCCATTTCATTAGTAATAAGTATTCCTGTCCCTGCTGGATTGTTATTTTCTCCTACATTTAATAAACCTCATGATTCAGCAAAAATTTTCTTTCATGCACCTCATGGACCCAATTCTTTCAGGAAGCTTTCCTGATAAAGCACGTGGATTCTCCAAATTTTAAATATAATCCTCGTAAAAAATGTATAAGATTAAAATATATATATTAGAAAAAAGAAGTACTGAAATCAGTAACCTATGCTTCTCCAATAAGAAATTAGAGAGAGAAGAGAAAATAAAAACAAATGCAAGCAGAGAGAATGAAATAAAGAATAGAGCAGAAATGAATGGGTTAAAAATGGAAAAACAATAGAGAAAAGCAGCAAAAACAAAAGCTGGTTCTTTGAGGTCAATAAAACTGATAAATTCTAGTCAGGCTGATCAAGAAAAAAACAGAGGAGACAAATTATTAACAACAAAAAGGAAAGAGGAGACATCACTACTGATCTAATATACATTAAAAGATAATAAGGGAACACTTGTTAGCTGCTGTCAAGTCAGCTCCAACTCATGGTGACCTTATGTATAACAGAATGAAACGATGTCCAGTCCTGTGCCATCTTCATGATTGTTGGTATGTTTGAGTTCATTGTTGTCAAATAACCTTATGCCCATAAATTTATTGAAGTAGATGAAATGGGCCAATTTCTTGAAAAATACAAGCTACCAGAACTCACTCAAGAAAGACAATCTGAATAAACACATTGCTGCTGTTGTTGGCTGCCCTCAAGTCCACCCCCAACTCATGGTGACCCCGTGCACAACAAAACAAAACGCCGCCTGGCTGGGTCCTGTGCCATCCCCATGATCGGTTGCTCATTGAACTGTTGAGATCCATAGGGTTTTCACTGGCTGATTTTGGGGAGTAGATCACTAGGTCTTTTTTCCTAATCCATCTTAATCTTGAAGCTCCACTGAAACCTGTTCAGCATCACAGCAACACATGTGCCTCCAGTGGCAGACAGGTGATGGCTGCACATGTAGTGTAATGGCCAGGAATCCAACTGGGTCTCCTGCATGGAAGGCGAGAATTCTACCACTGAACTACCACCGCCCCCAGTGAATAAATACATATGCACATTTATATATACACAAATATAAAATTGAACTTCTACTTTATTAAAAACCTTCTAGAAAACAAAAACCCAGGCCAAAATGGTTTAAGTCTAAAATTATTCCTAATTAATAATTTATTAAAAATTTTGTTTAAAGAAAGGAAGAGTTAAAAAGGATTTAAGTAACCAAACACCTTGTGAGATTGGCTTTCTGGGTTTGAAGGCTTAGGACCTTAGTCTCATGGGACAACTTAGTCAATTGGCATAATATAGTTCACAAAGTTCAAGTTCTTCATCCTAGTGAGGTGAGCAGCATCTGGGGTCTTAAAAAGTTGCGAGAAGCCATCTAAGATACAACTAGTGGTCTCTACTCATCAGAAGCAAAAGAGAAAGAAGGAAACCAAAGTCTCAGAGAAGAAAGTAGTCTACAGGGCTAGTAGCCTACAGGAGCCTCATTTACCCTAAGACCAGAAGAACTAGATCGTGCCTGGCTACCACCACCAACCGTTCTGATCAGGGCCACAGCAGATGAACCCTGATAGAATGGGAGAAAAATGCAGAAGAGGACTCAAATTCTTAAAAAGTCCGTACTTATGGACCAGTTGAGACTAGAGGACTCCCTGAGACTATAACCCTGAGATACTCTTTAAACCTTGAACTGAAACTATCCCGTGAGGTTACCTTTTAGTGAGATAACAGACTGGCACACAATATAAAGGATATTACCCGTGAGTATAGTGCGCCATTAAAAAAACATCTTTATGAGACCAAAAGGTCAACAACTGCTCTAAAGCAAAGATGAGAAGGGGGCAGGGAAACTACAGCATTGGAAACAGAACAACCAGAATGTGATTAAAGAATATTCAAGAGATATTTAAGATATTCAAAGGAAGAAAATGTGAGTCAAGGAGTTTTATTTCCAGCAAAAATGAACTTGATACCAAAAGCACAAACAAAATTTTATGAATATTTAAGAAAATTCATGAAACATTGTCCCACAAGCCCTGCCCTAAGGAATCTTAGTCCAAAAACACTAAAGCATCATCATCATAAGGACTGCTGCTGAGCATTAAATATATAGTTAGTTGTAAACTAAGTAAAGGTTGGGAAGAAGAGAGCATAACATGTAATGATTATATGTTCTAACAATACAGATATCATGTAATCATTTAAAAAAAGGCAGAGAAGATGGGAATAGCACATGCAAAAAGATTTTACTGTTTTCAGAAATCTAATTTTGGTGGTGGTAGTATTAATAGTTATTCCATGACTGTTGTATGTGTAACGTGAAATGAGCAATTATGGGTATACTAATTCTATCATCATATCTTCAGTAAGGAAAAAGAAGATATAGATGTAATACAGAAGAAATTAAGTAAGAACCCTAAAATACATCTGATCTTGAACTGGAAGTATCAGTATGAACTTATAAAGCATTTCCTCTTAATACATATTATTTTCCTACCTCTTCCACTGAAGGCCTAAAAACAACGACAAACTGAGAAGCAATGAGCATCTCTAGCACGTAGATTGAGGCCTTGAAATATTTCCCATTTAAAAAAAGAAGTTTTATTTTTTTAAAGAAGGGCTTTTTGGAGAAATGGCTAATTCCAGTTCTGAGGCAGGAAATGTGTAAAAGCCTGAAATAGCTTGTCATACAAGATAGCACAGAAGCTATCAAAGACTACTAGAGTCTTCTCAAAAGGACCAAGGAGCCAAACTGAAGATGGTTCACTGACTAAAGGGACAATCTGAGTTTTGATAAGACTGTGAAATGCAATGGATTGAATCCCACCAAAACTATCTAAGTCTCCAAGTTCATAATATTAAACTAATTGGTCACCACTTGAACCAATTATTTTGAAAACTGCTAATTACTACAGCTAATATATTAAATCAAAATGATAGAATTGGACTAGCTATTCTAATATTTTCAGAAACCCTTATGAATTCATGGGGGCGATGGTGGTTCAGTAGTAGAATGCTTACCTTCCAAGCGAGAAACCTGGGCTTGATACCCGGCCAATGCACCTCACAAGCAGCCACCACCCGTCTGTCAGTGGATGCTTGTGTGTTGCTATGATGCTGAACACGTTTCAAGGGAGTTTCCAGACTAAGAAGAACTGGAAAAAAAGGCCTGGTGATCCACTTCTGAAAATGAGCCAGTGAAAACCCTATGGATCACAACAGTCTGATCCACAACTGATCATGGGGATGACACAGGGCCACATTTCATTTAGTTCCATTATCCAGGAGGCACATGAGTCAGAAGCCAACTTGACAGCAGCTGACAACAACAACAATGAATTCATGGATCTAGACATTGTGCATCAGTAGCTGCTGATAACAAAAAAAGAGCAAAAACCAGACATTATGAGCCTCCTGATGAAAGAACATACCACTACCTACAGCCTTGCCAAAGGGATCAAACCTGTCTGATGAAACCCCTGAATCCAGCTGCCAATTTATAGGAAATTCAGAGGGCAGAGAAACATGCTGAACTGCACTATGAATGTGCAATTCCCAGACTGTGAGAAATTCTATAGGTCAAAAAGTCTAAAATCTATAAAATAGGGATGATAATAATACCCACGCTGCAAATTTCTTCAACAGATAAACTGTGAGGAAAAGACTTAAGAGATATCTCAAGTTTTAAAAAAATAGGCAAGATTCCCATTTGAGTGGTAAAACCAAAACAAACACAGGAACTGATCACTTTTAGAAGGAAGGAGAAGGCTATGATTGGGATGGAGCATGAGGGGGCAGGGTCTGGACTAGTAAAGTTATATTCCTTGACCTGGTAGTAGTTACAAGAAGGATGTTTGCCTTATAAAAATTCATTAAGCTATACATTTCTCAGTGTATGTTTTCTATATCTGTGATTTATTTTTCAATAAAAAGTTTTTAAAAAAATCAACCAATACAAATAGTTAAGCAATTATGTTTAGTGCTGCCTATAAGGGAGTTTCTTGACTTAACCCCTGGTTTTGTCACACGCCCTGACCTCTATATACCTCACTCACTGGCCATTTTCCACTACTTTCTGTTCAGATCCCTCAACCAACCTTCATCCCTACCTCCATCATTGTCCTGTTGTTTGCACCCTCACTCTCTGCTCTAAGTAGCCTGGATTCTACTGCTACCTCCATGATCTTTAGGGCTAAACAGAAAAGTAGTGAGACTCCAGACACAGTGACAGTGTTTCTCAACCATTTTTAAACCATACTCCCTTAAAGCAAACTTGTTGCCAATGAGTCAGTTCCAACTCATGGTGATCCCGTGTGTCACAGAGTAGAACTGCTCCACAGGGTTTTCTTGGCTATAATCTTTACGGAAGCAGATCACCAGGTCTTTCTTCTGCAGCACCACTGGGGGGGTTCGAACTGCCAAACTTTAGGCTAGCAGTGGAGTGCAAACCGTTTCCATCCCCTAAGGACTGTTAGAGAAATGTAAAACCACATGTGTGTACACGTGCATGTACATACACATACACACCCAAGGTGGTTAAGTTCTAAATCAAATCTTTTGCATATCAGTATTAGCCAAGAAGACTGTGCGGAATCTTATTTTATGTAATTCTATTGTG